ATCAATCGAATGTTTGAATGATTAAATTGACTGTTCAATTGAACGTTTGAATTTTGACACATATCCCCTCCCATACATTCCCGGCGGCGGCGGCAGTTTCATTCCCGATTGCAGCTTTTTCCTCGATTGCGGGAAAGTTTTGCTGTCGCTCTCTCATACGAGCGCGGTGCCCACCCCTAGATATACAGCAATAACCACACACGCGCGACTGTAACAATCAGTGCATTCGCCTCCCCCACCCCCACTCCCGTACTTCAATCAATGCCGTCCAGTAAGCAAGCACGAGCCACGATGTGCACAGCCACGGACGTGAGTAACAGGGGTGTCGGGGGCTGCTTTTTTCGTTTTTTTTTCTTTGGCGTGAATGCGTGAGAATGCGTAGAGCATGCGGGAGCAGATGCGTGAGTCTCCCACGAAATGCGCAGCGTGAGACTTAGTAGGTCTGCTAACAGAGTAAGATTTAAACTAAAGGGTGAAATTTTATTTTTGGGGCGCATCAAATGCAGTCTAAGACATTCAAATGTTTTAAATTTTGCTGGGGAGACCCCCAGAACCCCTTCTACCTCTCTCCCTCCGCGTCTGCCTGCAGAATCCACATTCGTGCCTACTGCACGCCTTTGAATCCATCATGTGCGTTTTTCCCCAAACTGTGCATTACCACCGTTGTCTAATTTCCCCTCGGAAGAAATCCTGGGGTTTAAAAAAGGCCTGTCTCCACACACGGCACGGCAACGGCGCTGGCAAAAGTCAAATGATTTTTACTACGCCTGTGCGTGCACGTGTGTGTGTGCGCGCGCGTGCGTGCGTGTAGGTGTGTGTTTGTGTGTGTACTGTGTGTGAGGTACTGTAAAAAGTAGTAAAGCTGATAAGTACTAACTGCCAACTGGGGAATATAGTCAGCTTTGATGAGCAGCTAATTTTTCTGGTTCAATAGCATCCCGAAGTTACAAAAGTAGTAGAGTATATATGCATGTGCTGTGCTGTGAAAACTCTTCTGTAAACTATTAGTATTACTGTAAATAACTATAATGTGTGTATAGTACTGTCTATACTGTACTGCGCGCGTGCGTGCGTACGTGCATGCGCGTGCGTGCGTATTGTGCGTCAGGTACTGTAAAAAGTAGTTGTTTGTGACCCTACCATCCACAACAGTTGATGTGGAGAGGGGTTTTAGCAGACATAATTTGGTTAAAACAGCTCTGAGAAATCACCTGAAAACAGAAAGTGTTTGTGACATTCTAACCATCAAAATTGAAGGCCCAGAAGAAGATGTTTGACTTTGAAAAGTGCTATGTCCAGTGGTGTGCTAAAAAAGATAGGAGAATTTTCCTGCCAGCAGTGAAGAAAAAAAATTCAGACAATTTGAATGTCTCTGTCAGTCAGTCAGAGTCATGGTGGTGAATCATAGTGTTAGTAAGTGTCTCAGTCATAGACATGTGGTGAATAATAGTTTGTTTGCATTAAATAAGTGTAGTTTTGTACTTCATGCAGAAAAGAAAGAACAGAAATAAAGAAATAAAGAAATAAAGAAATAAAGAAATAAAGAAAT